ATGGCAGACACATTTAAAGGACTTGGAGGTTTTCCGTTGAGAAGATCTGGAAGTAGAGACTTTGGAAATTTGATACAACATATTTTTGTAGAAGTCTTGAAATATGTGCTGTGTTGATATAATCCTGATGGAATCATCGAGTGTCTTCCAGTCTCAAGTATCCGCAGGCCAAGACTAGGGAGGGCTTTACTCAAAGGGGTCTTTTAGGGCATCCCTACTGTGAGAGGGGCTCCAGATGGATTCTGGACTATGGTCCATGCTCGCCTTCGACCCCAGAATACTTGTGATGTGATTTAGCTGTAGAGCAGCTGGTTTTCCCTGATCACCTATGAAACAGTGTCTCTTAGGAGGCCATGGAATAAGCAATCGGGAGAAACTTTTCAGCAAAGCAGATGAGAGAGGCAAGCTTAGCACCTGCCGAGGCTGTTTGATAACTGACTCTCAGGATAGGAGACAAGTAAGAGACTGGAGCATGTTACTGGTTTACCCACAGGGCTCTTACTTAAAAGGGAGAATTATCTTATGTTGGGAAAATATCAGGATAAGGCTGCTGTGCTTATTACCCTTATAGCCATGGTTTGTTGAACCATTTAGGCCTCCCCATTATTCTGGAATAAGGACCCAGGCTAAGCAAAGTATAGTGGTCTTGTTTTTTGGGTCTAGGTTGGGCATTGTGTCAGTCAGCTGTTACTCCAATAATGCTGTGTAACAAACAACTTCAGAACTCATTGGCTTACAATGGTGACAATTTACTCTGGCAGATTTTGGGGTTGGCTGGAGCAGCTCTGTTGAGGCTCAACTAGGCTCCATTGGAGCAGTTCTGCTCCATTTGTCCTGTCTCCCTAGAACCAACTAGCTAGCCGGAGTATGCCCTCTCAACGTACTGGCAAAGACACTGGAGGCCAAGCTCAACCACACATGTGCTTTTTGGCCTCTGCTAATATTGCATTGGCCAAGCAAGTGAGATGAACAGAGCCCTAAGTGGCTGGTCTCCCCACCAGTCAATTTAGTCTTCTCTCCTGATTCTGCTGCTCACCTGGTCCTTGGCTGTCCCTCATTCACTCTGCATGTCAGGCTGGCTGTCCCAGGCTCCATTGGAGCAGTTCTGCTCCATTTGTCCTGTCTCCCTAGAACCAACTAGCTAGCCGGAGTATGCCCTCTCAACGTACTGGCAAAGACACAGGAGGCCAAGCTCAACCACACATGTGCTTTTTGGCCTCTGCTAATATTGCATTGGCCAAGCAAGTGAGATGAACAGAGCCCTAAGTGGCTGGTCTCCCCACCAGTCAATTTAGTCTTCTCTCCTGATTCTGCTGCTCACCTGGTCCTTGGCTGTCCCTCATTCACTCTGCATGTCAGGCTGGCTGTCCCTTCCTCCTGAAACTCTCAAACCCTGCAGATCCAAATCCCTTGCTTGCTTAGTTCACTTAAAGTGGGGAGCCCTACCCTGATGCCTTTTTCAAAAATAGCTGCCACCACTGTGTCCACCTTCACACTCTCCCCTTGGTCCACTTGGTATTTTTATAGCATTTATCACCTCTGACATTATGTTATTGTCTTCCTCTTCCACTGCAAGGTAAGCTTCATGGTGGCAGGGACTTTGTCTTGTGGCTTGTGAGGTCTCCAGTGACTACAAGAGTATGTGGCACATCATAGATTCCCAGTAGGTATCGCAGTAATGAATGGCTGGAAGGTTATTCAGGGTAAGCTTGAGTGTCTCCAGTAACACGCCACTCACCCTTCTGAGGCCCTGTCTTATTATTTTTAGGCTCCTCTAAGGAAAGTTCTTTCTATTTAGATTATACTAAATATAATCTAAATATTATAGATTTAGATATATAATAAATATACATATATTTACTATATATATTTATACTAAAGTCATCTCCCAATAGTTTTAAACAACTCTTTGATTCTAGTTATGCCTTCAAGAGCCTTGTAGAGGAGAGAAAAAGGAAATTGTCCTCTGTGTTGCCCATTGACTTGTATTACACCTGTATTAACTTGTTAATAACCTTGCAGAAAAGGATATAACAGAAAACTCAAATTGTATGTAATTCCACCACTTATAACGGCTGCTAGCATTTTGTATATTTCCTTAAAGTTTGTCTAAACCTTTTTAACATAAAAATCCATATTGAGCTCATATGGTAGTTTTATAGCCTACTTTTTTCTCCATAATATTGTATCTAAGTAATTTTCCTGAATCATTAAATTCCCATGATATTTTAGGGATAGCCTCATATTAACTGTACATAAATCTCCAAATTTAACTATTTTTCTGTGGTTAAATATTTGGATTGTTGAACATTTAGATTAAGTTTTTAAGTAATTTTGTAAGTAATGCTTGTAGGTGGATATTTGATGGTGTTGGAGGTTATTACCTCAGGATAGACAAGAAAGGTAAGGTTTCTGGGTGGAGGAGGATGGGCCTTGTGCAGCAAGCTCCTGCAACATTGTTAAATTGCTTTCTAGAAAGATTATATGGTTAAAATTCCCTTAAGCACTGTAAACTTTCCCATATCACCATACCTTTACCACAGTGGGAATTTTCTTTTCAAAATTTGTCAGCTTGCTAAATAAAAAAGAAGTTGAGGCCTGGAGTGGTGGCTCATGTCTGTAATTCCGGCACTTTGGGAGGCCGAGGATCATGAGTCCAGCAGTCTGAGACTAGTCTGAGCAATGTAGTGAGATGCCCATCTCCACAAATAATAAAACAATGAGCTGGGTGTGCTGGCATGTGCCTGTGGTCCCAGCTACTCGGGAGGCTGTGGTGGGAGGATGACTTGGACCAGGAGGTTAAGGCTGCAGTGAGCCATGATTGTGCCACTGCACTCCAGTCTAAGGGACAGAGTGATACTCCATCCATCTCAAACAAACTAAAGATAGTGCAATGTTTTTTTCAGTTTTTACTGGCCATGGAAAGAGAAAGAGCTAATTAATTGCTAGTTTATGCCTTTTGTTTCTAATAGTATTTTTAACTATCTGTTAAAGCTTTTTTTATATAAGAATATTAAGCTTAGCCTTTATTTTTGTTATTGTTGTTACAAATAATTTTCTCATGCTGATGACCTTTTGTTTGTGGGGTCTGTTCGAAGACAAAAACCAAAGATTGTTATATATTCACATTTTTTAGTCTTTTTCTTTGTGATTCCTAGTAAATACTGGCAGTTCCAGGAACTCCAGCGTGATTCAGAGGACTTTCTGAATTTGTGTCCCTTCCCTCCCTGTGGGGGTGGGGGGGAAGGTCACATTATAGATTTGTCCTGTTCAAAATTGTCCTTTTAAAGGAGCATATCATCGAAATGTGCTTTGTAAGTGTGTGAGTTTGCTAGGACTGTCATAACAAAATACTACACACTGGGTGGCTTCAACAACAGACATTTATTTTCTCTCAGTTCTAGAGGCTAGAAATCCATGGTCACGGTTTCAGCAACTCCAGTTTCTGGCTGAGACTCTCTTCCTGGCTTGTAGACAGCCACCTTCCTGCTGTGTTCTCACGTGGCTTTTCCTCTTGACACACGCCAGGAGAGGGAGAGAGAGGGCTCTGGTTTCTCCTCCTCTTCTAATAAGGACCCAAGTCCTACTGGACTAAGGCCTCATCCCACTCCAGTTAAATGAGGACTAGGAACCTCATTTAACCTTAATTACCTTCCTAAAGGATCTGTCTCCAAATATAGTCACATTGAGGCTTAGGGTTTCAACATATGAATTTTGGGAGGACACCATTCAGTTCATAATATTATGATCGAGTAGTGTTTATAGCATAGAATCTAGGAACCAAGAGAGATTGCCTCTCCATAATCCCATTTTATAGAAAAGAGACCAAGCCCTTGAAAGAGTCACATCTCCTTTTGTAATAGAGTCTAGCCCCAGACCACTTGCTTCTAAGTCATTTTTTCCCCAAATCCTTTATCAAAATTAACCTAGGGCATTTAAGAGCCATGCACAAAACAAAGGGGCAAAAGATGCTTCCCTTAGTGTATTCTGCAGGCGCAGGGACTCTGTGCTGTATTTCCTTTTTTTTGAGATGGAGTCTCACTCTGTCACCCAGGCTGGAGTGCAGTGGTGTGATCTTGGCTCAGTGCAACCTCCGCCTCCCCACTTCAAGCAATTCTTCTACTTCAACCTCCCAAGTAGCTGGGATTACAGGCATACACTGCCACGCCCGGCTAACTTACTGTATTTTAGTAGAGATGGGGTTTCCCCGTGTTGCCCAGGCTGGTCTCAAACTCCTAAGCTCAGGCAATCGGCCCACCTCAGCCTCCCAAAGTGCTGGGATTACAGGCGCGAGCCACTCGGCCTGACATGTATATTTCTTTTTACCCTTATTGCCTGAGACAGTTCTCAATCATGCTATACATTCCATGTATACTTGTCGAATTGTACAGAGCTCAGAACCTGGTACATTGACTAGAGCAGTGCCCGGGGAAACATTTCCAGTTGTAAATTATTTAGGAAAATTCCCCCTCCCCTAAATTCTACCTCTTGACAAGAGCTGCCTAAAATGTTGTCTGGACAGCAGCCCATATCGCGTGAACTTCCAAGAATTAACGCATCTAGAATGCGTCTGACAAACTCAGATCTGGTGTGTTATATCTCTTCCCTTTAAAAAAAAAAAAAAACCCTCTCACCTAAATATAGTTTCCTTCTAAAAACTGTCTCTAATGACTGTGTTTTACCCTGGGTAAGTTCTCCCCAGTGCATCCTGATGCTGGAGCATGAAAAGGAAGGTAAAGGCGTGAAATCAAATGGTGATTGCTAACAATGAAATTTGGGCTCATAAAATCAAGGATATTATTCAAAACTGTGAGGTAAATTAGCCTCATTCATTCTGATAGGGCTAGATAGACTCTACGGCTGCGTGTGCCTTCGTTAATTAACATGCTGAAAAGATGTTCTGATTGGGATTATTAATGAATGCAGTAGAAATGTTTACTGCTTAGAAGACTTCTGCCACAGACGGTTTACAAACCCCCCGCCTCTTTCTTTTTCTACAGATTCCTTACAGGGCTTGACAGATGGAGTATTCATCTTTGAAGCTGTTTCCACTGAAGATAGCAAAACCATACAGGGCTACGATGCTATTGTGGTTGAACAATGGACCGTCCTGGAAGTAAGTGTGGGGTTGGCAGCCCTGCTTCTTTTGTTTAGACAGCAGTTGTTTTACCCGCCTGTTCAATCTGGCTGTGGGGCTGTTGCTCAGCTGTGGCTTTCTTCTGAGAGGGAGTTGACCTGATAGGTCCCAGAAGGACCCCCTTAGTCCTTTCATTCCCCTCTTTTCCCAACCCCAGGTAGGTGTGGGCCCTGCTCTTCCCTCTCTGCTGGAAAAACACATTGTGCGTGCCTTCCTGGCCATTTGGTGGACAGACAGTTATCTTTCATTAATTTGCGTGTAACTGACAGCTCTAAGTGATATAAATGAGGCCACATAGTTTGTGGCTTCTCTAATAATCAGAGCAGCATCGTTATCGGGGCCAGACCCTGTGGCTCCCTCTGCCAGCTATCCTCAGTGTTATGCACGTGAGCTCACTTAATCTTCACAATAAGCCTTTTAAGTAAATACTGTTATTGCCTGTTTTATAGATGAGGAAACTGAGGCACAGAGAGGTTAGGTCCCTGGTCCAAGATTATATATTAAGTGCTGAAGAATGTATTTGAGAAATGTTGACTCATGAGGCCACCAAATTGCTGTGGGCAGGGAAATTCCTCAAACCATGATCCGCTGGACTTTGGAGGAGCTAATTGACTTCTAAGATTCACTAGTGTGTACCTATAAGGCATTTCTCTAACTGTGGAAGCATGGACTTTAGTCTCTTGTACACACAGTGCCTGGGATATAAAGGGAGAAGCTATTTGGACATAGAAAACTGATTGCTTAGTGTTTGTTTGAGATGGAGTCTCGCTCTTGTTGCCTAGGCTGGAGTGCAGTGATGCATTCTTGGCTCACTGCAACCTCCACCTTCTGGGTTCAAGCGATTCTCCTGCCTTGGCCTCCAGAGTAACTAGGACTACAGGCACCTGCCACCACACCAGCTACTTTTTGTATTTTTAGTAAAGACAGTGTTTTCCCATGTTGGCCATGCTGGTCTCAAGCTCCTGACCTCAAGTGATCTCCCTGCCTTGGCCTCTCAAAGTGCTGGGATTACAGGCATGAGCTATCGCACCTGGACATGGACATAGAGAACTGATTTCTGAATGCCTTGGAAGAACACAGGATTGCCATTGCTGTGAGGGCCTCTGCCAAGTCGGGCTCTCCAGGGCAAGGGAAGACAGACATGAATACACCTCTTCATGAGGAGTGTGGGTGCTGGGACCCTCTAGATAATCAGTGCTTGCCACGCCCTTGTGCCTGCCGGAAGTGTAAGCTCGAGGCAGTCCCTTGCCTGGTTATTGTGGTGGAGATGGGGTAGGAGGGTGAGTTGGATGCCCCCGGGACACTATTACTCAGCTTTGAAGCTGCAATGGTTCCCAGCACGGGTGAAGTGAGGAGCAAGGCTGTTGGGGGCATGCCTGCGTCTAAACAGGGATGGGAAGTAACCGCTTGCAAGCATGATAGCAATGGAGTACCCAGATGAACTGGAATCGTCAGAAGCAGGAGTTGGAAAATCACAGCATCCAGCTCTGGTTAGCGTAGGGGCAAGAAGTCCTGAGGGAGGGAACCAGATGATGACCTGGTGTGAGATCAGCTCCACCAGTTACTCCTGTGTGACCCTGCTGCCAATGGTCTCTCCAGCGTCCATGCTCCTAACTAGAAATGTGATGCAGAGAAAGTAAGGCTCAGTCCAAGATGCTGAGGAGGCATGGGCAGGTCCTGTCACCTCTCAGGACCCTGTCCTTTCTCAACTGTAAGTTGGGCAGGTCATGCAACCCACCATGTGTGGTGGAGTGAAGGCTCCAGGTGGTGGTGAAATATGAAATGCCAGGAGTTGAGGCTCTTAAGGGCTGAGCAGCCAGCATTCAGTTTGCTCTGTAACATTTGGCTGTAACAGTAGTGATGCATGGCTGCACCCAAAACATGTGCCTGTGCCGAGTGATTGGCAGGCCATGGGGATGTGTGTAAAATTCCTGCTGTCTGTATATTAAAATGGCTGTTAAGGGAGGGCTCTGTGGTTCCTCAAAAAAGATGACTTGATGGCAGTGATCCAAAATCAGCTATAAAATGGTTCTTAAAAATCAGTGCGACTCCAGGACCAGTAGCATCAGCATCATGTGGGACGCTGTTAGAAATGAAGACTCCTGGGCCCCACTCCAGATCTGCTGAACCCCCGGGGGGTGGGGCCTGGCAGTCTGCATTTTAGCAAGACCTGCAGGAGGTTGTGAGGCTCACTCCATTTTAAGAACCAGGGTACAGATGCCACTGTCACCAGATGTCTCTGGTCTTGTGTGATCAAATGACATGGGTGAAGGGAAAAGCACCCCAATGACTTGTCTTTCTTCAGCCTTTGAAGCTAACTGTGATCCTGATATGTAACTGAAGTGAATGGATACTATATAAAGTGTTTGTGGGGGAAGACAGGGTTAAAACTAAAGTAAGGACACAGTTCTCTTCTTAATTCAAAAAAAGGTCAATTTTATGGGTTAAGAAGTTAGTACAGGAAAGACGAACATTGATTCAGAAACTTTTCCTCAATATGCAGATTGGTTTCCAGTGGGTCAATTTTATTTATTTCTCAGATGTTTAAACATTTTTCCTCCTGTCCTCTTATTTTTATGCTGCAATCTATTTGATGATGTTTGCGGAGCCCTCCACATTTCAGGAATGCTGCCTTGGCTTTCTCCCAGGAATCTTTTGGGAAAAAATGGGTTTTAAAGACCTGTGACAGACCCAGTGGTGTGCACCATCTCAGCCAGTTCTGCATATCTGTTTCCAACTTCTCATTCAGGGAAAGTAGACTGGTAGTTTGAAACTGTCCATGGTGGAAGTATTTACACCATGGGAACTGGCAAACACTAGAAATTGGGTTTTCTTTCACTTGGAGAGCAAGTTGTAAGCGTTTATTAGCATACACTGGATGGGCCATTGTCTTACTGCATTTCACATTCTAATATAACAGTGTGGCTAGTATCCAGTTGGGCAGAAACAAATTTTTCTTAATTTTCATGAGCACGATGACAGTGAATTGATGGTTTTGATGTTGTTGTTCACCAAGTTTCCCTGTACAATGTACAAGTCATCAAATTTGCTGTTTCCTTTGGTGATCCTGGGGCGTCCCCAAATTTCACGCAGTTGACGCTGACTCCCACTCCCTTTAGTAGCATGAGCCTCTGCTGTGGCTTGAACATTTGTTGTCCTCCAGAATTCATGCTGGAATTGTACCCCACAAGATGGTGGATTTGAAAGGTGGGACCCCGGGAATGATGAGGCTGGGAAGGCTCTGCCCTCGTGGATGGGATGAATGTCCTTAGAAAAGAGGCTGCAGACACTGTCTCCCCTTTTTGGCCTTCCACCTTGCACCATGCAGGGACACCTACTTGGCACCATCTATGAGGAATGGGCCTTTGCCAGACACTGAACCTGTTGGTCAGTGTCAAGATGCCCGATCTTGGACTTGCCAGCCTCCAGAAATGTGAGAAATAAATTTCTATTGTTTATAAATTACCCAGCCTGTGGTACATTGTTACAGCAGTAGGAATTGACTGGGACAGAAATTGGTACCAAGAAGTGGGGCTGTTGCTGTAACAAATACATGAAAGCGTGGAATGACTTTAGAACTGGGTAATGGGTAGACACTGGAAGAGTTTGGAGATACATGTTAGAAAGAGCCCAGATTGCCGTGAATGGAGTGTTAAGGTGATTCTGCTGAGGGCTCAGAAGAAGAGGAGAGCTGTAGAGAGAGCCTCAGACTTCTCAGAAATTATCTAAGTAATCATGATCAGAAAGTTGGTAGAAATATGGAAAGTAAAGGCCGTTCTAATGAGGTCTTAGATGGAAATGAGGAACGAGGTATTGGAACCTGGAGGAAAGACCATCCTTGTTATAAAGTGGCAGAGAACTTGGCTGAATTGTGTTCATGTCCTAGTGCTTTGAAGAAGGCAGAACAAACAAGGGATGAACTAGGATATTTGATGGAAGAAATCTCTAAGCCAAGTGTTCAGGGTGCAGTGTAGCTGCTCTTGGCTCCTGACAGTAAAATGCAGGAAGACAGAAACAAACTGAAAATGGAGTTTATAATCAAAAGAGAAGCAGAACTTAAAGATTTGGAAAATTAGCCTGGCTTTGTTGTCAAGAATGAAAAAGTGTATTCAGGAGAGAAAACCAAGGTTGACCAAGCTACTGTTTGATAGGGAGATTGGTGCTGGTGGAAGGAGGCCGTGTGCTGTTCACCAAGACAGCAAAAGAAAGACCTGAAGGCATTTCTGAGATCATCAAGGCTGCTGCTCCCATCAGAGGCCTGGAGCACCAACACCTGGGGGACAGACTATGTCAAAGAGGTGCCGTGGGCATCCTCCATACCTTCAGCCTCAGGGCCAGTGCTACTCAGTGCTCTCAAGATTCTGCTCCATGCATTGAGGCTAACACAGCTTCTGCGATTGACATCTTCTGAGAGCATATGGAGGAGAGATCTTCCGCTGCACTCCTTGGTTTATGGGTTTCTCTTCCTCTTTGCAGCTGGTAGAAGCAACCTTCAGGAGTCAGCTCTTAGGTCACCTCCTGCAGGGTGAAAGACCCCTCCTATGTGTTCTCGTAACTCTGGGCATGAGCCTGTCACAGCTCCTGTTGTAATCTATCATTGTTACTAATTTGTCCTTTCTGGTTCAGCTTTTTGGTTCAGCCCAAGGTAGACCAGTGTTTCTCAAAATTGAGCTTGTATCACAATCACCTAGAGAGCTTTTTAAAACACAGGTATCCAGGCTGTACTCCTAGTTTCCTATTCAACAGGAGTCTTAGTCTGCTTGGGCTGCCATAACAAAATACCATACTAGATGGATTAAACAACAGAAATTTATTTCCTGTCAGTTCTGGAGGCTGAAGAGTCCAAGATCAAGGTTCTGGCAGGGTTTGGTTTCTGGTGAGTGGTCCCTTCCTGGCTTGCAGATGGCTTCCTTCTCATTGTAGCCTCACATAGCCTTGCCTCTGAGCACGCAAAGGTGGGAGGGGGCCTCACTGCTGTC